ATTAGTATTATTATTTATTTTTTTTTGTTTGTTTAAAAATCAATACTATATATCTTTTTAATAACATTCATACAAACACAGCRTATATATATATTTTAGTGTAAATCATAACACCTATCATTAGTGTTGATTAAAACTAYAGACAAACTAATATTGAAAGATAAAAAAATGTTATTTTTATTAATTATTATTAGTATTATTTTATTAATATTGTTTTATTGGTAAGAATATAACATAATACTAAAAATAAAACATAAATTATTAATATTTGTTTTTGTTTTTTATTATTTTTTGATTTTTTAAAAAATATTTTTTGACAAATTACTAGCAAATTGTATTATATGAAACATTTTTATCTTATAAAAATAAAAATTAATTTTTTAGTTATCTTACCCGTAATTATAACTATTGGTCGGATAGAGGCCTAACCGGTCCAAAACCCTTGATATGGTTTGGCAATACATTTGAACAATTGTTTCGTCCGATTTCGGTCATCGATAGAGAGAGACGTCAAAAATATGGACAGACTTATGGGTGACTATATAATAAAAATTWTCAAAAAAAAAATTATTTTTAGTATTTATATTTCAATTTTTTTTTKTGGAATATTTACTAATATATATATATATATAAAGTATTTTTGAATCAAATGAGCCAATTATGATGACATCGGATCCAAAGTTAATCAAAAATATTTTGATCAAAGATTTCAATATATTTCGCAATTCACGTCCAGATTTGCTAACACCGAGCGATCATCCAATCTATCGGTTAGTTATCGATAATACTGGCGACAATTGTTGGCTACGTATGCGATCGGTTATTAGGCAACAATTGTTTACCGATCAGAAACTTAGACAAATGGTCGAAAAAATTACCAACAATTTAGTCGATTTAACTAATTGTTTGGACAACCGATTGATAGATCAGTTGTCGTCGACAACGGTTGTCGACATTAGACAATTGTTTGTCAACCAATCGATTGATTTGTGGTGTTTAGTAATGTTTTCGTGGAAACAAAATTCATTCAATGATCCTGAAAATAAAATTACCAGGCTTATAAAACGTTTATTTTTGCCATCAAAATGGCGTATATTAGCCAGACTATTGTTACCAAAATTTATGCTCAAAGTGCTCAATATGTCTAAYATTATGCCTACCGAAGCGCTCAACCTATTCGCTAAACTAACAGTCGATGAATTAGATAAACGACTAAAAACTTTTAACAGGTAAGACACTTAAACGACGACAGCGGCGATGCTTTTAATTTCAATTATCTGGTCTAACAATACGTTGGATTTAAAAGTGACCAAGATGATGGCAATGTTGTATATAATTTTAAACTAAATAAAAGTGTAATAGGTCATTTTAAAAAAAATTAATTGCATAATTGGCTATATAATATACAGTCGACTTGTAAAAAAATTGTAAAAATGATAGTCGACTGCAATTATCTGACCAATAATTTAATTAATTAAAAAATAACCAATTACATTTTTTTATCTAGTTTAAATTTATCTACAACATTGTCATTGGTCACTTTTAAATCCAGCGTATTGTTGACCAGATAATTGAAATTAAAAACATCGCCGCTGTCGTTGTCGTCGGCGCCGCTGTTTAAGACTCTCTCTCTCTCTCTCTCTCTCTCTCTCTCTCTCTCTCTCTCTCTCTCTCTCTCTCTCTCTCTCTCTCTCTCTCTCTCTCTCTCTTAGCACCACCGATACAAACGCGGATTTTTTTCAATCGCTACTCAATCGGTGTCCGGAATTTATCGGCAAATCGGACAACAAAACAGTGGAACAGTCGGGTATATGATATTATTATTAAAATTAATTAATGAATTTATCATTTTAAATAATTTAATATTATTACTATTAATATTACTATTATTATTATAATTATTATTTTACTATTATTATTACTATTATTATTACTATTATTATTACTATTATTATTACTATTATTATTACTATTATTATTACTATTATTATTACTATTATTATTACTATTATTATTACTATTATTATTACTATTATTATTATTACTATTAYTATTATTATTATTATTATTTGCTAATAAATTATGGGGGCGAAAAATTTAGATCAATTGATGAGCATTGATGAAGTGGTGGCCAATATGTTCTCATTATTTCAGGGWGGGTTTGACGGCCACCAACTGTCTATGACATTCATTATCTATGAGTTGGCCGTCAATCAGGATTGTCAGCAAAAAGTCTACGACGAAATTATGACCTGTTGTCGGGWCAGTCGTACGACAATTGGCGGCCAGTTGTTGTTGTTTGATTGGGAAGCACTGGTCAAACTKGACTATTTAGATGCCTGTATAGCGGAAGCAATGAGACTGCACACACCGTTTACTAGAGACGGACGTATAGCCAATCAGGACTATACAGATGTGACAACCGGTAAACTAATCTAATCTATAGAGTCTTAAACAGCGGCGGCGGCGATGATATCAGCGATGATAGCGGCAATGATAGCGGCAATGATAGCGGCGATGATAGYGGCGATGATAGCGGCAATGATAGCGGCGATGATAGCGGCGATGATAGTGGCGATGATAGTGGCGATGATAGCGGCAATGATAGCGGCAATGATAGCGGCGATGATAGCGGCAATGATAGCGGCGATGATAGTGGCGATGATAGCGGCAATGATAGCGGCAATGATAGCGGCAATAATAGCGGCGATGATAGCGGCGACGATAGTGGCGATGATAGCGGCAATGATAGCGGCGATGATAGCGGCAATGATAGCGGCAATGATAGCGGCGATGATAGCGGCAATGATAGCGGCGATGATAGCGGCAATGATAGCGGCGATGCTATTAATTACAATTATCTTATCAAACAATACGTTTGGATTAAAAAAGTGACCATGGATGGTGGTGGCAATGTTGTAGATAACTGTTTTTTAAAAATAAATATAATTGTAATTGGTCATTTTTTAAAATTAATTAATTGTATGATTTGTCCCAGATAATTGCARTCGATTATTAATTTATATCATTTTTTGTGTGTRTGTAAACTGTCGACAGTGTAAATAAATCTAGCATATAATACAATTAATTTAATTWTTAATAAAAATGACCAATTACRATTTTTTATTTAGATTTTAAAATTATCTACAACATTCTAACCTTGGTCACTTTTTTTAATTCAATGTTTTTGATTGACYAGATAATCGTAATTAATATCATCGCCGCCGCCGCTGTTTTAGATTATATCACTAATTATTAATTAAATACTTATATATATATATATAATAATTATAATAATAATAATTAGGTGTTACCATCAAAAAGGATCAGGTAATCCAGTTTTCACGTTCAACAGTACAACGCTGTGCCGATTATTATCCAATGGCCGACCAGTTCATACCCGACCGGTTTGCCAGAGCAAACAAACACCGATTGGTCGACTCGGCGTATCTGCCGTTTGGTTTGGGCCGACGCAAGTGTCCCGGCTATAGATTCGGATTGGTGGCCATCAAATTGACCATGGCACATTTGTTGATGCGATACAAGTTTTCTATAGTTAATAATAATAATAACCAAACCGTATTCAAAACCAATCCGATTGTCGAACACTATACCTATTGTCCAGAAAAGTTGTTATTGAATATTGAAAAACGTATCGTTAATTAATTAATTAATTTTTAGCTAATATATTGTATTATGTTTTAGACGTAAATAACTAATAATAATAATAATAATTAATGTATATGCACTTTAATACTGTATAGGTTTTTTTAATTTAATTTGTTTTTATTATATATTTGTTGAAATAAAATTTTTTTATTGTTTTAATTTTAATTTACTGTTATTATAAATACGAAACTATACTATTACTATTACTATTATTACTATTATTATTATTACTATTATTATTATTACTATTATTATTATTATTACTATTATTATTATTACTATTACTATTATTACTATTACTATTATTACTATTACTATTATTACTATTACTATTATTACTATTACTATTATTACTATTACTATTATTACTATTACTATTATTACTATTACTATTATTACTATTACTATTATTACTATTACTATTATTTATTACTATTATTACTATTACTATTATTACTATTACTATTATTACTATTACTATTATTTTTACTATTATTACTATTACTATTATTACTATTACTATTATTATTAATTATTATTATCTATTATTATTATTACCTATTATTATTATTTATTATATTATTACTATTATTATTTTCTATTATTATTATTACTATTATTATTAATTATTATTATTACTATTATTATTATTACTATTATTATTATTACTATTATTATTATTACTATTATTATTATTACTATTATTATTATTACTATTATTATTATTACTATTATTATTATTACTATTATTATTATTACTATTATTATTATTACTATTATTACTATTACTATTATTACTATTACTATTATTACTATTACTATTATTACTATTACTATTATTACTATTACTATTATTACTATTACTATTATTACTATTACTATTATTACTATTATTATTATTACTATTTATTATTATATTACTATTATTACTATTACTATTATTATATTATTACTATTACTATTATTAATTACTATTATTATTATTACTATTATTATTATTACTATTATTATTATTTATTATTATTATTAATTATTATTATTACTATTATTATTTATTATTATTATTACTATTATTATTATTATTATTATTATTATTATTATTATTAAATTATTATTATTATATTATTACTATTATTATTTATTACTATTATTACTATTACTATTATTACTATTACTATTATTACTATTACTATTATTACTATTACTATTATTACTATTACTATTATTACTATTACTATTATTACTATTACTATTATTACTATTACTATTATTACTATTATTATTATTACTATTACTATTATTACTATTACTATTATTACTATTACTATTATTACTATTACTATTATTATTATTACTATTATTATTATTACTATTATTATTATTACTATTACTATTATTACTATTATTACTACCAGCAACAAACAAACAAACAAACAAACAAACAAACAAACAAACAAACAAACAAACAAACAAACAAACAGAACTATTATATTAAAGTTATGATTATTATTTATTTTTTTCTAGTAAATTTAGAATAAAGATTAATTTAATATTTTTAGTTAATAATTAAAACTATAATAATTGTAATCATTTGACCATTTTTTATATTTACATTTTTTCAATAAAATATCCATAAAAACACAAGATTTTATTGAAGATTTTATTAACAATTAATTTTTATGCTTTTATTTGATATTATTTTACGTGACATTGTATTTATAAAAATAAGATGACATTAGATTTTTTTTATAAAAAAATATAATTATAAAAATAATAATTATATTATTATATTRAATTWTATTATTATATTAAATTTTATTATTATATTAAATTTTTATTTGTCTATAAATTACTTTATATTTTTAACACCAGTATATTAATTTAATATTAATAATAAATATGTTAATTATACTGCAATGACATTTCTATATTTTTTTATTACAATAAATTAATAAAATTTTGTTTATTAATAAAAAATTTATTAAATAAAATAATTTAATACAACTAATAGTTTTACTATAAATTTTTATTATTATTATTATTATTATTATTAGTAGTAGTAGTAAATATGATTTTTTTATTAAATATAATGCTTTTATTAAAAGTTAGTAAAGTATGAAATTGTTTTTAAGTGAAATAAATATTTAAATTTTTTATTACCGCCATTTTTTAATAAAGTGATAATTATTAATAATTTTAGGTGAAAAAAATATTTATTATTAAGATTAGATTACAGATAAAAATAGAAATATCTATTTTATTTATGTTTTTTTATAAATATTTTTTATACTATTTAAACACAAAACATAATAGAAACAATAGTTTTACTTTTTCAATAAATTTAATTTTTTATTATATTAATTACTTTTTGTAAAAATTATTATCCTATTAATTAAATATATATTTAAAATAAAATTTTAATTATAAAAGTTATTTAGAAATTATTATTATTATTATTATTATTAATATTTGTTAATTGTAGGTATAGTTGAAATTATATACTGTATATTATTTTAATCAATCAATTTATAACAGTTGTCTAAAAAATCAAAATCAAAAAATAATTATTAATTTAGTTAAATATTACTTTCAAAAAAATTATTATTTATTTATTTTATTATTATTATTATAATTATTATTATTATACCCCGTATGGATTTTTTAGCGGCACTTTTAATGTCGTATAAACCCATTTATCTTCAATATAATCATAAAGTTCAGCCGTATCTATAAATCTTAAAACTATTGAAAATTTATATTTTAATTAATTTAAAATTAATAAAAAAATTACTAATAACAATAATTAGAAATTAAAAATAATTATTAAATACCAGAGCTGCCCAATGCATACAAATTGTTATCATTAACCARTAAATTAAAATTAGATCGCTTATCATTCATTGAGGCTTTAAAAAATTAATTTTTTTATGCATATTAAAAAACTTTAAAAAATTAATTTATCAAAAAATTAAAATATTTTACTAACCAATTGTCGACCATTTGTTTGTTTTCGGGTCATAGGTTTCGCATGATTTTTCATCGCCATTAGTACCCTCACCGCCGCAAACATACAGTTTGCCCCTAAATGATACCGAACCCGGATTTTGTCTATATATTCAAAAAAATATTTAATTTTTAATTTAGTTAAATTATATAATAATAATAATAATAGTAAATCACACATATATTATTTAAACCTTGATAATTGCATATTTGCTGTATTTGGTGACCATTGTTTGGATTTTGTATCAAATTTTTCCACTAAATTTGTATAATTATTATTAGTAGTATCAGTATTATTGATAATATAACCGCCGATAGCATAGATAAACCCGTCGTGTAATACCATTGATAGACCCTGTCTTTCAATAGTCATTGATGTTGTATTAAACCATTTATCCTGATTTGATGAATAATATTCACATGATTTTAAATTATTAGTACCTATAAAAACACCAAAAAAATAATTTAATTCAATATATAAATATTAGATAATTAATTGTAAATTAATAAAAAATTTATATATATATAAATATATTAAAAATATATATATATAAAATAACTAAATATATATATATATAATAATAATTATATATATATATATATTAATTAAATATATACAGTATATATAAATTAATTAAATATAAATTTATATATATAAATTAAATTGTTTAAAAAATTGCTAATAACATTCATGTATATTGTATATACAGTACTATATAATATATATATTTATATATATATACAGTATATACAATATAGATGAATGTTATTAGTAATGTTTTTAAACAATTTAATTAATTTAACAAAAAAATAAATTAATAAATTATTGATAATTACCATTATATCCGCCGCAAACATAAATACTATTATTAACTATAGCAGCACTGAAGACACTTTAAAAATAATAATAATAATAATAATGATTAAAAATATAAAATAATTTATAAATAAATAAAAATTATATCATATAAATTATAATTGTTTGTTTTTACAAAAAATTAAATAATAATAATCAAATTACAATCTAGGTAAATTCATTGATGAAACTGGTTTCCATGTATTTGTTGTTTTATTGTATGTTTCAACACTATTCAGAGCTCCGTAATCCTAATATAATAATGAAAAAATAAAATTTATAAATAATGTTAAAAAATATAATAATAATAAATAAATTATTTATAAAAACTTAAAAATATAATTAATTTTTCTATAAACTACTCGATTGTTTGTTTGTTTAAAAATCAATAACTAAGCAAATAATTATATAACAATTTTTTTTGTTATAAAAATTGTTTATTTATTATAGAGTTAAGCAAGGTTTTAGATTTTAGGGGGGGTTAGGGTGGGGTCAACTTAAAAAATTCTATAAATATCTTTGTGGGGGGGTTCTAGGGTGTGGTGTAAACTTTTATTGAATTTTTAAACTCTGATATATAATATTCAATATTATATATATATAACATTATTGAATATATTAGTATCTAAATTATAATTTTATTATTATTATTTAGCTTATAATTACATTCAGGCCTCCGATTGCATACAATTTTGAATCCAATGATACAAAACTAAAATCAACTCTCGGTGTAGACATTGGTTTAATTGATTGCCATTTATTGATACTATTATTATATTTATAACAATCAGATAGATATGATGTCTCAGTCATACCACCGCATGAATAGATAGACTTTTCCGTTATATTATTGTTAGTTATCTGTAATATTAATATACAAAAAAATATATAAATAAAATACAAAAAATATAAATAATATATATATATATATTAATTAATTATATAATTACAATAGTATTTGCAGAGATTACAGTTGATATAAAAATCAACAATAAAATAATTACTAAATTTATTTGAATCATTTTTTTTGTTGGTTACAAAACTAATAATAATTTTTGTTTTAAAAAATTAAAAAAATATTATTACTAATAATACTAATAACTAAAAAGTATTATATTTTTTAAAAAAATAATTAGTTTTTTATACTATAAATATGATCTGATTTTATTTATTAACAAAGTTTAAGTGTATTTAGTTATCATAATATTTCAATTGTTGATAATATATTTTGTAATATAACTTTTTTTTTAAATATTTAACCTGAAAATACTTATTATTATTATCATCATTGATGCACTAAAACATAATTGGAAAAAAATTAATTGAATATTTTTTTAATCAAATATATATATATATATATATTAATCTATGATTAGAAATAATTTAATTTAAGGTTTACTTTTACAATAATTTCAATGTATATATAAAATAATTTCATAATATAATAATTTGTTAAAATAGTTTATTCAATATAACTTTATTTTTACAATTAATATAATCTATAATATACTATATCTATTATATTACTAATTAATAAATACTTATTGTGTTATCTATATTACACAAGTATTAAAAAATGTTTTTAAAAAAAATTAATGTTTTTTGTATTTTTTAAATATTTTTTAAAAATATAATTACTTAGAAATTTTTTAATTAAGATATTACTAATAATGTTTTAAATTTTCAATATTACTAATTAGTTTTTAAAAAAAATAATTTATTATTATTTAATATAACAAAAATTATAAATAAATTATTTTTATTATATTTTTAGTTTTTACATAAATATTTTATAAATATATAATAATATTGATAAAAGTTGTCTTCTAAAAAAATTAAATATTATTTTATTAAAAATATATCTTTGATATTTTATAATGATACAATATAATTTTAATCTAATAAAAATTTATTAATTATATAAAACTAAAAGTAAGTAATTTTACTGATTTTTTTTAATTTATTCATTTAAAACGGATAGTTATAGGAAATACTGAAAATTTTGTCTAAATTTCCGTCAATTGTCTGCTTTGATAACATTATGGGATTATTGTTTGATAACTTTAGTCCCAATTTTTCGGCAATTTCTATACTATCCGGATTTATATCCCAACAATAATATAAAACATTGTCCAATAGATTAACGGGTATGAGTTGCAGACAACTGGTGGCCAACAATTCGGCTATCGACGGGTTGTCCGCATATAACGGTGCGATAATTGTCGCCTCAGTCAGGGCTCTGTATATAATACATAGGCCGCAGACCTCCCGGCGCTCATTAATTGCTACCAAATTCCAGGTTTCCGATGAATTTAGTAGACCTTCAATGTATTCCCGCCGATCAATACCCGCGCATACATTCCTATCGTATTCAATAACATCGGATAATATATCCATAGTTATTGGCAACAAAGTTATACCATTAATAATAAATTTCGGACATTTATTATCAATTAATAAATTATTATTTGTATTTAATTTTCCACTCATTAATATCAATCGTTTATGTTTTGCTATTTGATAACCATATTTCTGAACATACTTTTTGCCCATTTCCTCATTATTAGCAACCAGTCCTATATTGATGTCGTCACCCAAATAGTCGGTAACTCTATTCCAGATAACCGGTCCGATACCCTGTCCCTGATATTCAGGTCTAACTGAATAACCACCGATGAAACCCATAGTTGCCGACAGTTTAACTCCACTACAATATCCAATGAGTTTTCCTTATTTTAAAAAAATAAAAATAATATTTTACTATTAATTTTTTGAATAAATTTATAATTATAATGTTTTCATTGTATATATCAATATATTTAGTTTATGGTAATAATAGTATTAAAATAATTAAATGTTATTAAATTGAAATTTTTAGTAATTATAAAGTATAACTACTTTCTATAACTAAATGTTTATCTTATTTTTTTAAATAAAAATTTTTGTTATTTTTAATATTATTAGTTATTTTTAGTATTTTTATTATGATTTTAATTTATGAACTTATTTGTAAAAATATAAATCTTTATTAATATAAACAACAAAAATAGATTAAAAAAATACAACTAAATAAATACTATATATAACTTTATAATTATCATATTAACACCAATATTAAGCAATATATTTATAATTATATATAAATACATTTTTTGGCTAACATTTATGTAATTATAAGTATAAAAAACTACAGTTATATATATTTATTCATATAAATATAATATTATTTCATATATATATATATACCAGTGTCGACCTCCTCGGCCACAAAAATGCCGTTTGGGTCGATGTCTAGCATGACTTGATTGCCCCGTTTGAATGCCAATGACTTACATGCCGTCCATATATCGCGTACGTCATCGCAATCCGTGGCACGCATTAGGCGTACATTAAATTTAACTAATTGTTTGGTAGTGTCGGACATAACTGTCCCACAAATTATATGATATACAGTATATATATATATATATAATACTTTTACTACTATTGTATTTTACTAATAATTTCGGTAATTATTTTAGAGATTATTATTCACACAAATWTTTTTAAATAATATAAATCACTATATCATAAAAATTTTGCTAATAATTTGTTGTGTTTTATAATTTGTAAATTATAATTTTAGTTAATCTATTAAAGTGTTTTTTATTTTTTTAATTACAATGTATATATATRTATATAATAAATTTTGAAATATAAAGTATAAATTTCTAAAAAAGTAGTGACTAAACAATAAAAAAAACCAAAAGTGTAAAATAACATGATATTCATGATATACTAAACATTAATATATRTTTAAAATATAWAATAATTAGTGAATTTCATAGGAAATGAATGAATAATCAAAAATTAATATCAAATTTTAGTATTTTATTTTTTTTATATAGTTATCAATGAAACTTTTATGAGAGAAAGAGAGAAAAAAAATTACACCAATTTATTTTGCATGAATATTTAGTTTATCTAATTAAGTTTAAATAGTTTTAAAAATTTAAAAAAATAGTATTAAATACTTAAAAATAGTATTAAATATTTCAAAATTTTTCAAAATGAAAAAAAATTATTTATTACATTAAAATCTGGTTACTATTTATAGTATAACTAACATTATAACTAATTGTTAGCAATTATTTTTTTTAAAAATATTTAATTATGAATTAATATTATATAAGAAATTTTTTTTATATATAAATAAAATAATTTTATTTATAATCTTTATAAACAACAAAAATAACTATCATATTATTTTGATTGTAATTATTTTTTTAATATAATTTGTTTGTTGATAATACTATAATAATGTATAAATCATAATAACTTTTTAAAATATAATACTATACTAATTAAGTAATTTTACTGTTTTAGTAAATAAAATTATTTTATTTAATTTATTTATTTGATTTATTTAAAACGGATAATTATATGAAATACTAAAAATTTTGTCTAAATTTCCGTCAATTGGCTGCTTTGTATGTATAATGCAARTATTGTTTGTTAACTTTAGTCCCAATTTTTCGGCAATTTCTAAACTATCCGTATTTATATCCCAACAGTTATATAAAACATCGTCCAATAGATTAACGGGTATGAGTTGGAGACAACTGGTGGCCAACAATTCGGCTATCGATCGATTGTCCGCATATAACGGTCCGATAATTGTCGTCTCATTCAATGCTCTGAATATAATACAATAGCCRCAGACCTCCCGGCGCTCATTAATTGCCACCAAATTCCAGGTTTCCGATGAATTTATGAGACCTTCAATGAATATCCGCCGATCAATACCCGCGCATACATTCCTATCGTAATCAATAATATCCGATAATATATCCATAGTTATTGGCAACAAAGTTATCCGATTATTAATAAATTTCGGACATTTAATGTTGTTATCAATTAATAAATTATTATTATTATTATTTAATTTTCCAGTCATTATTAATAAACGTTTGTGTTTTGCAATTTGAAAACCATATTTTTTAACATACTTTTCGGCCAATCGTTGATTGTTAGCAATCAGTTGTATATTGATGTCGTCACCCAAATAGTTCATAACATATTTACCGATAACCGATCCGATACCCTGTCCCTGATATTCAGGTCTAACAGCGTAACCACTCAGGAAGGCTAGGTTTGGCGATTGTTTAACTGCACTACAATATCCTATGAGTTTTCCTTATATTTAAAAAAAATAAATAATATTTTACTATTAATTTTTTGTATAAATTTATAATTATAATGTTTTTATTGTAAAGTTTATATCAATATATTAAGTTTATGATAATAATAGTACTAAATAATTAAATATTATTAAATTGAAATTTTTAGTAAATATTAAGTATAACTATTATCTTGTCTTATAATATAAGTAATACTTTCTATAACTAAATGTTTAACTATTTTTTGTTTAAAAATAACAATTTTATTTTTTTTTATTATTTTTTAGTATTTTTATTATGAATTTAATTTAAGAACTTATCAGTAAATATATATATATAAATCTTTATTATTATAAACAACTAAAATAGATCTATCTATATATATATATAAGTTTATAATTATCATATTAACTATTAAATACTATTTTTGGCTAACATTTATGTATTTATAATTGTAAAAAACTACAGTTATATACAGTATATATATAATATAATATAAATATAAAGTTATTTCATATATATATATATATATATATATACCAGTGTCGACCTCCTCGGCCACAAAAATGCCGTTCGGGTCGATGTTTAGCAGGACTTCATTGATCCGATTGAATGCCAATGTCTTACATGCCGTCCATATATCGCGTACGTCATCGCAATCTGTGGCACGCATTAGGCGTACATTAAATTTAACTAATTTTGTGATACTGTCGGACATAACTGTCCCACAAATTAGATGATATACAGTATATAATACTTTTATACTCTATAATTGTATTTTACTAACAATTTCGATAATTATTTTTTATACGTATTTTTTTGGTAATATAAATCAATATA